CTTCCTCTCTAGGCCCCCCCCCGCCCCCCAAAACGAGTCGTTTTCTTATCCTTCCTTTATCCCCTGTTGGACAAAAGCCCGAGCTGTTCATCATGAACAAGAGGGCAAACTCTGCAGATAACAAGAGAGAAATACACCGTATGATTGTAGGGTGTGTGGGAGGGAGTCAAGAGAGCGATAAGGCAATTGCTGTTCCCTCCCTCCGTTGTTCTCCCCTCTTCCAGTGAGTGTGTGTTTTGTACACAAGCACGCCTTAGCCCTAGGATCAGCTCTTCCCCAAGAAAATCCCGGGCGTAATGACGGGGGCCCTCCTGTCTGCCCCGCGGCTGCTCTCTCAATGTTCACTGTTGCCTATTGTTGTTGTCTTTTCTCTGTATCTTCCTCTAATTGATTCCTTCTCATTGCACACAACTCTTTTAACTTCGAATTCTCAAAAACCGATAAGAAGAACGGCCTTCAATTCTTTCTGCTTAACCTCCAACTACGAAAAGCCTGCTGCAGCATGTAAAGCAGCAGCCCTCAATCGCATGCCGGCAAAAGAGTTACGAACAGTAGAAGAAACAGAAACAGCAGCAAAGCAACCACACAAACAGACAGCAGCACCCATACGAGAAGCAGCAGCAGCCCCATCAGCGGCAGCAACAGCAGCGCGCCGCTTCGGTGCAGCGCCATTGGCAGCAGCGGTGTTTGCGGAGGCGGAGGTGGGTGCAGCAGCAGCGGCCGCAACAGCGGATGCAGCAGCAGCAGCAGAATCAGGTCCCGTGGCCCTAGTTGCTGCTCCTCGTGGGTTCTGTGAAGGCGTACGGCGAGCGGTAGGAACAGTAGAAGAGGCCTTGAAGGTGTTTGGGCCTCCGGTGTACGTACACCACCAAATCGTCCATAACGAGTTTGTCTGCAAACAGTTGGAGGTCAGCAGAAAATCCCCCAATTGCAATTCACGCATTGTTTGCAGTGCTGGTTTTTCTTTTGCTGCTGTTTCTGCAGCAGGGCGAAATGCTGTTTGTTTAGAGGTGAGGTTGATGCTGTTGCTGCAGCGTCAGCATATATATGTTGCTGTTGGTATGTCTGTACACTCAGGAAAGAGGAGCTATTTTCGTAGAGAACCTTTCGGAAGTGCCTTTGAATTCGGTTGTCGTCTTCTCCGCCCATGGGGTTTCCCCACATGTACGGAAAAAAGCAAAAGAAAGAAATCTGACGACAATTGATGCTACCTGCCCTCTTGTACAGAAGGTACATGTGTACGTACACCAGAAAGCACAAGAGGGATATCACATCATTGTCATTGGCCACAAGGATCACGGTAAGACAACGACTATTTGTTTCTATACAGTTTTCTTCTACGTGTATGCGCATGCTCTTGTGTTTGTGTGTATGCTTGCGGCGAATGAGAATAATGCCCCTTTATTATATTAAAGGGACACACGGACAAATCAACATAAAAATACGCACAATGGATTTAATTGTGTTCGCATTTGGTCCCACAGTGAGTTGGATCATTCTGGCTGTTTGCATGCATGTTCCCTTTATTTTTAGTTTGTTCCTGCGTGCTGCCTGCTGTTTGTTGCTGTTGCTGCAGTTGAGGTGCGCGGGGTTTGTGGGGAGGCCCCTGGAAGGGTGCATGTGGTGGAGAGCAGTGACGATGTCCATTTGCTTCCTTTCTCTGCGGAAGAGAAGTTGTTCTATGTGACACAGACAACGCTGAGTATATTGGACTGTTTGCACATTGAAACAGAGCTAAAAAAGAGATACCCCAACATCGAAACTATCAAATCGGGGTCGGTGTGCTACGCAACTTCTAATCGACAAGCTGCATTAGGCGCCTTAGCTGCGCATGCACAACTTGCAATTGTTGTAGGAAGCAGAAGCTCTAGCAACGCCCTCCGACTTGTGGAGATTGCTAAAAGCAAAGGAATCCCGTACGAATACCTACACATCCACACCTTGCATGCATGCATGCAGCTGTGCATGCATGCATACCTACAGAGATGCAAGCACTCTGTAACACGCGCCCTCGTAGAGGGGGAGTGTGTTACAAGAAACAAAATCAAGTGATTTCACCTCAGAGACTCCCCCTCGTAGAGGGGGAGTCTCTGAGGTGAAATCACTTGATTTTGTTTCTGATGCATTACCTGCATATACGTTAGCCGGCTGCAAGTTCCACGAAACCCTGTCTGCGTTGCTTCGTTATTGGTGCTCGAATTGCTCCCGCGTCCATAGGTTTTGTTACTTTGTTTCCTCTCGCAGGGCTTATCTGGTTGGAAATGCAGACGATGTAGACCCTCAGTGGCTGGCTGGTGTGAAACGCGTTGTTGTTTCTGCTTCTGCTTCAACTCCCGAAGAATTAACAAAACAAATAATGAACAGATTAAAAGCTTTTAATGTTCAGTTGCAAATCGAAGCCAATGCAGTCAACGAGAAGAAACCCGTGTGGAAGCTTCCCAAGTCCGTACAAACAGCCCAGCTGTCTGTGTGCACTCCATAACCCAGGCTTTTCCCTCACATATTGCATTTAAGGGCTGCACTCACAAAGCACTCTCCTCCTGCTGGCTTCTCCAAATGGTTTCCCGTAGGTTCCGGTACACCGCAGAGCAGCTGACATGACTCAAACACAACCCGTTAAGCACATCAACACAGGCCAAAGTTCATAACATCAACGAAATTCTGCAATTGTACATTCTGCCTGCAGGCCGACACGCGGAAATGCGCAGGAGACCAGCAGCCAAAGGGACATATCTAGAGCTGCCTGATGCACTAAATTGCAAATGCTCTATGCATGCATGCGTACATGCGCGCATGCGTGCATACATGCATACATTTTTACTTCGGAGAGTGACTTCCTCGTCGCGCTCGCGTTCATGATCAGATCCCAGTGAAGCTACTTCCGTATAAACATATCAAAATAACCGCAGTAGCTGAGACCAAACACCGAGCTAGCATGATGCCTAGATTACCGATTGCATCCTTGTACGGCCTGGAAGTGCTAGATAATTTCTCAAAGCAACCTGCCATCGTTACCTATTGATGGCTGGATATTTGTTTTACACCGAGCAAGCATGCTTATATATGGCATGCTCCTGGATTGAACCCATTAAGCATTTCGGCATACCATGTCGGCGTACCATCTACAGGTCACCCAGCAGAAGGCATTATCTATATTTGGTATGTATTTTATATTTGTATTTTTATCCCACAAGTGCATCATTGATGACGTGGCGTGGGGTTGACCATTTAAATGCAAATATAAAATTGGATGATGTGGCCTGGGATTGGTCATTTAAATACAAATATAAAATACATATTCAACGTAGATAACACCTTTGGACGAATCTACCATCCTCAATACATTCAGTGACAGTGACGAGGGATTTGGACACCTTAAGAGTGCAAAGCCAGTCGCATGTCATCCATAGGTGCTATGGCTCGGCTAACCAGCAACCATCTCCACACCTGGTTACTCATAGTGTGCAGTATGAAGCTTCTTATCTCTAACTTAGTGGTGATCGGCACAAGCTAAACTGCTGGTGAACTGAATTGCTCTTATCTCACGTCGAGTCATTATGTAACTCTCTTGTTTTGTTTACGAGTGATTGAGAGTAGCAAACGAGCCGTGCTCCTCTAACAACTATGGCTATACCTCGACAAGAGCCTCCTGAGCCACTCATGATAACTACGGAGTCGCCCACAGCCGCAAGCCACAAAGCCACCCCACATTCCATTGAAAGCGAGTTTAAATATTCAAAAAGAGCATTGTACATTAACCTGACGAAGCAAAGATAAGTATAGTTGGGCGCTTTAGCCGGATGCCATGCGGCTCCAAAGGCGCTTATTCATCCAGCCCCAAACACTGCTGCCACTTGTGCCTCGTTTTGACTCAGCGTGTACCAGAACATGCTCAATGGCTACTCATCTTCTTTTCGGCGTATATCTGCAATACTTATTTATTTATATTATTTATTTTGGCATAGCTTGAGTTCCGGGCCTACTCCAGTGCCCGGGACAGCACTCGTGACGCTCCCTGGCCTTTATTTCCCCAGCCGGGAACTGTCAGCGGGGCATGAGGAGAAAATAAAGAGGGGCTTGAAGGGGATCTCTGCTCAGAGGGGATGGAAAGTAGGCGATTAGCAGAGGAAGGAGGGCAGGGGGGACCCGGCTCTCCTTCTGGGGAGATGGCGGGTGGAATGTCTTCTGCTGACGACTTGCAGCACCACATCGAATGGGCTCAGAGAATCCTCGACGATCGCACCCTTGTGCCGCTACAGCAAAAGAGGGTTCAGGATAAGCCTCATAGTGTACTGCATCTTCTTTGGGGTGCAGTGCTTGTGCTTCTCGTCATATTTGTGCGCCGGCTGCCCCGCTTCCCGGGTGTTATTGTGCCGCAGCGCTTGGATCAGGGGGATCCTTTGATGTACTGGGAGTCAAAGAGCCTCATCGGCGATAATCCGGAGGAAGGAATGCAGCGTCGGCTCCGCAACAACCCCCACGTCATTAAGGGTTTCCTTGATTTCGCTCAGCTTTCCAGGGACAGCTTGGGCCGCAGGGATAAGGCGTCCCAGAGGATTCACAACTTTCAAAAGCAGATGGTGGCTGCTTTTAGCCCGCTGATCGTTGTCACAGATCGCATGACTTCCTTGCTCAAGCATTTTCCCCCACAAGCGGACAGCCTGCCGGACAACGCCGATGAGCTGAGGACACAGTTGCAACACCTGGTGGAAGAGGAGAATGCCGCATCGGATAGTAAGGATGAAATCCTTGAGGAATTGATCACAAGCAAAATGCGCAAAGATTTGTATAGCGATCCCATGGTAGCCACTGCCCTGCGTCGTCTAATGGACATAGACTCCACGTGCATGCACAAGAAGATTGAAATGCTGGATTTCTTGACCAATGAGGCCATGAAGGCCACAAATGAGACATCAGTCAGCAAGATCATGAAGAAGGAGCTTCAGTCTCTCGAGAAAAAATATAAGGCTGTGGCGGAGGATGCAGAACGCGAAGCAGCAGCGTGTATGGCGTTGCTGCCGCCACAGGACCACTGGCTCCTGTTGCTGTTCGTTGAACGTCTTGGAGAGGTTCCAGCCCCCGCAACAACAGCAGCAAATCCGAACTAAGCCTTTGGAAGTCATGCAGCTGCTCACTTTGTGGGTGGCTCGGCATTTTTTAAATGCTTCGGAAGGCATGCAGCTGCTCCATCTGCGTGTGGCTTGGCATTTTTTAAATGGCGAACGCTTGCGCGAGGGCTCGTCTCCAGGTCACAGCTCGTTCGTCTCAAGCCACGCGTCTGGAAAGGGGGGCTGCACAATACTACCAGCACAGTTTGCACGTTGCACTCGTCGAGGACAACAGTACGTTCAGCAGGTACTCGTTGCTAGCAGCAGCAGCAGCAGGTGTTGTTAATCGTGAGGTACTCGTTGTTGCTATAAGAAGCAGCAACAGCAGCAGCAGAAGGAGCTGTTAAGGGTGATTTAGGTGCCCCTCTTACTCAGGGAGCATTTCGAGGCCCGAGCAAAATTCGCCGTCTTGGTTTGATGCCTTGGGCAGGCTGTGGCGGTTATTATTGTGACGGCCGTTGTGCCTACGGCGGCTTTGCCGCTGGGTACCGCATTTATTTCTCTGTTGTTTTAACAAATATGCAAGACGTGAAGTTGGCGTTTTTAAGTGCAGTAGTCCTCCCCTGGATGAATGGTAGAGCTAGAACATAAGCGCCAGTTCGAAGAAGCAGCAGGTGCTTTGCCAGTTCACGTTCTTCAGTAGAAAGACCGATAGAATGGCCGCTGAAACGGTTAGACCGCAGAAGTTAGGGTGATAGTTTACGCTGGTTCCACACCGCATCTATCAAAGGTTGTAACGGCACTGAGCAAGTGGCGGTAGATGTTTCTTTAGGTTGAGGTAGCATCTCTCTGGTGCACGAAGTGTAGGGTGCAGGGAGATCTGTTCCGCTTTCAAGTGGCGCAATTTTTCCATTCAACTGGCCTACCTGCCATGTTGAGTTTGCCTTCGGGGCATGCTGCAGTGCAGAAATGAGTGGTCATATATCCTTTCCATATCAAGTTTTGCAGAAGTAAGCAATGATGCGATTGGGTCGTTAAAGTAAGCACTTCATATATGCTGCTGTAAATGCAGGCGGCATCTGGGGTGTCGTATTTAGCGTACTGCTCGAAGGCGCATTCCATGCTCATGAGTGCCAAGTCACAACGCACACACACACAACGCAACGTAGTGGCACTTCTCCTCTGAACCTTGTGCTGACTCTCATGCAGTGTAGGTCCAAATAAATGGGAGGCGTTTTTCTGTTCTTTGTTCCTTTCCATTCCCTTCCTTGCGAAGCGTCTATTGCGGTTTCCCAGAAAACGGCGGCGCGACCGCCGCCAGCTGGTGCGCGACAGTGACAAGCAGCACGAATTCCGCCAGATAATATATTTGCTGCATTAATCCTTCAATTAACACAATTAAAAGATGGTGATTGTCTATTTTCTTGAAAATAACATCTCAACAGTCTCACATTGTGGGGCCGCCGCCTTGGGATGCAGCACGGTAGCCGGACTCGGCAGCGGCGACCATGAGCGAAATACCTGGATAACCATTCTGTTTCCCTACATCTAATCCTTTCCCCATCAAAAGTAATAACTTGGTCTTCTCAATTTGCAAAGGCCCCTTCGGTTTTCACAGCATGCTGACCTCCCGGGCCTTTTGACACCCGTGCAGCTGTCGTAGTTCATCGACAGTGGGATCAGCAAGTGAACGGTGTAGTATGAGCGTATTATTTGATTCCTTTGCTAGTGAGGAACAGCGTTTTCTTTAATCGCCTAAAACTGCCTGGCTACCAAGGCAATGGCCGTCATGGGAATGCCTGGTCCAACGTATCATGGGTTCAAATATATAAAATATGCACAACCCCTTGTTTTCCTCCACCCTCGCTACGTGATCAATGTCAGCTGTTGATAGCTCCACACTCCCGTTATTGGTGCCTCTGTCCGAGATCCCCGCAGAAACCAGTGGAGCTCATCTTTTGTCAGCGGTGTGCTGATGCAGGATAAGAGGGGATCCTGGCCTACTGGGAGCAGCAGCACAAGCCCGCGTCTTCCTTCTTCACGATGCTGAGAGGTGACAAACCCACGGTGGCATCTCCGATCCCTCAGTCTCAGGAATGCAGTTTAGGAGATGTCAGCCGTCACTGTACACCGCTGGCCCGGAACCCGCCACTCGCAGCGGCAGAGTCGTTCCAGCAGCAAGAAGAAATATACCAATATAAGCTGCAGCAGCCGCATTGCGTTCGTTTACCTCGAAAGGGACGGCAGCTTGCAGAAAGAATCACCTATCATCAGACTCCGCCAACAGAATCAGTTCCCTCCCGGACATCCGAAGTTCACTTCGGTGCCGATGCGGTCACACCCCCGAATTTTAGGCTTTTGGGTGACACTTCTCCTCTTTCAAGTTCCCAAGACCTAATGGAGTTTCAGAACCAGGCGTCAGAGCACACGCAACCATGCCTGTCAGCGGCAGAAGAGGCCAATTGGCGTCCTCAAGGAGGCGGCCTTGCCAATACTCGGGCCGATTTTCATGGAGAGAAACATTTGAGACATGGTAGTGGAGAGGTAAATGATGAATCGGCTTTAAAAGAGGCAGATGGAGGATTTCAACGAAGAAGTGCAGCACAACACTCGCGGTCAAGAATTCAGATCCTCGGTCACCTCATGCGGGTCTGTTTGCAGCTGGTGTTTCTGCTCTTCCGAGAGGCACATGAAGTGACGTCTGTGTGTTTGTGGCAAATGCTAGGATGGGGTTTGGGGGTTTTCAGATGCTTGTGCTGTCGCTGCAGCGTTTGTCTGCATTTGTTGGTGTCTGGTGTATCTCGGGAGGACGGCCAAGGGAGCAGACCCCTGGCGTGCGCCTACGAATCATTTGCCAAACTCTTGCGGCTCGCAGGTTCCCTGATAGAGCGCAGTGAGGCAGCAGCTGCATCTGGACAGTGCCGTGCAGTATACGAAATGCTTTCCGCTCGGACGGCAGCTGTACAGACAGCTGCAAATGTTGGCTGCATGTGCACGGCAGTGATGCGGCACTTGAAAGCTTTCTGCTGCACAACTGTGGCGGCCTCAGCGCGGCAGCAGATGCAGCTGACAACTGCTAAGCAGAAAGTCGACGATGAAGGAAATCTGGCACTTTCTTCTGAGGAAGCGCTTGCCACCGGTGAGGCCAGCATGGCTGGAGGTAGATCAGCGGGAGAAAACAACTACCGCGAAAAGGACCTTAGACCGTATATTCATGAAGCAGCAATAACTGTACGGGTGCTGCTGTATCCTGCTGCTTTGCGCATGCAGCTTGCGATCTTTGGGCCTCGCTGCACCGGGTGTCTCCCACGAAACGAGTTAGTGTTGCTCAATTTCAACAGCTTCTTCGCCAGCGCCTCGTACCTCGCGACGGTATTTTGTATTTAATACCCGACCGCTACCCAATAGAGCTGGACCCCCACCAGATGCCATCGGGGGAGGTCAAAACAGCGACTCAGCAACAAGAGGAACAGCTGCAGCAAAGCGATGAAGTGCCTCATCATTTTCCTGCAGCGTACACCCGCCGCTCAGACTCTGTCCCGCGTTGGAAGCCTGTGGCCATAGCAATAGATGCACTCCACTCTGCATGCCGCCTCTGTACAAAGGTGTTGCAGGCGTTGCTACGCCAGACGCAGCAAAGGCAGCAGCAGCACAAGCAGCAACAGCAACAGCAGCAACAGGAAAAATCAATGCAACGCGGTCGGCATTCCCTTCTCTGGAGCATCCCAGTAGAGGCGATGGCAGCTGCTTTCCTGCTTTCTAAAGTGTGCAGATGCGATGTTGCTGTCGATACACCGGAATCAATCAATTGCACAATTCAGTTGCTTCCTTGGAACCAGAGACGTTGACAGTACAGATGCTGCTTCGCTACCTTTTGCTGCTGCTGCTGTTTCGGCACTTCCTAGTTCAGCTACACGTATTGATGCTACTGCTGCACGCACTGTTCCCGTTGCAGTTGTTGTTGCTGATGCTGCTCGTGCTGTTGCTGCTGCCGCCTGTGGCAAGGCTATTCGCTTGCATCACCACATGGGCCCTGCGTTGTGACATTTCGCAGAGAATATTGAGGGCTTGCGGCGTCGCCTCGTCAGCAATTATCGGGTTTTGTTTGTCCAGCTGTCGGCGGCTGCTGCTACTGCTTAGCACATTATGTGGTGAAGTTGCTGCAATTGTTGGCTTGAATGTGAAGCGTAATACGCTACTGCTTGGTGACGGGCCTCTCTGCGGTGTATGGGCAGCTGCTCAAGGGCTTGGCAGGTAAGTGTTTGAAGGCGTTATACGTAGTTATATATAGTACTAGTGCGCACACAAAGTAAATACAATGCTACTTATCATGACTCAGCAACAACGGTTTAAGGCGCTCGCATGCAGCGCCTAATTCTTAATTTTTATCTTTATCTTCTAGCGATCCAAACAAAGGCTTCTTTGTGAGCCCCCTCTGCACCCCACACCGAGGGGGACTTGCTGCCAATATTTCCCTTTAGGTAGTCGCACCGGTGGTGATTGCTGCTTTCAACAGCAGAGTGGTGGCCTTCTCGTTTTACTTTGCTGCATCCCCTCTGGTGCTGTTGCTGTGGCTGTTGGCGCTGCTGGTGCCGCTGCTGGTCCTTCTTGTGTTGCAGAGCAAGGCGATGATAGCCTATAGATGGTGAAAGCAAATAGATGCCTTAAGGAGAGTCGGCCACACACCAAGGGGGCGTCGAAAGTTTAAATAATTTAAAGAGGGCTACAAACGACTGTCTCTCTCCCCTTAGCTGGGTCCGATGGAGGCCTCGATTGGGGCTGTTTACTGGGCGTTGATTGGGTGCTTGCATGTATACAAGAAACGCATGCTTGCATGCATTCTTATATGCATGCAACCATGCATGCAAGCCTTTTTTAATGATAAACACACCAAGCAACAGCCACCCTTGAGGGGCTGGAAGAGGCGGCGACTAGCTCTTTCCTGCATTGCTCTAAGGGAGCAGCACCCTTTTTTATTCGGACAGGAGCACTTTTTCAGCCTTTTTTCTGCAGTGCATGCATGCGCTGCTCCCTGCAGACATTTGGTTTAAAGTATATTCAGAGGACATTTGAAGATATTTTACAGGGCCGCAGGGAATAAGGAGGAGGTAAAAGGTGAAAGAACAAACCCTCTCTGCCCCCACACAGAAAGAAATGAAGGCCACAGAAACAAAATGCATGTTAATACGCATACATGCATGCAGACCTAGCTACATACATCTACATATTTTCTTTTCTAGAGATGCAAAATGCATAAATAATGCATATATGCCTACTATTTTTATCAGTAACAGCGGAAGCAACAGCAGCAACGGGAGCAGCGGCACGCTTGAAAAAGCCAAATCGACATTCTGTGAAATATTAAGGAGACCTTCGGTCCTCCAACCGCCAGCGCTGCTGCTGCTGCGAGATTGAGGTTCGCACCAGCCTTAAGGGCAGCCGTACAGTGTGCTGCAGGTGCATGCATCACAGCTGCATGCAACCCTACAATTGCAAACGGAACTTCAGCTAGGACCGGTGCTCTATTCCTCCGGCTGCCTCCCCGCTGCTGCTGCTGCTACTGATGCTGCTGCTCTTATGGCGCAGGTGCGCGGCCGCTCCCGAACAACAGCCCCAAAGCAGGCCAAATGCCGCAGACGTTGCTTACGTACAACGTAAAAGGCCGCATGCATGCATGGCTGCATGCCTGCACGCAGGGCCGATGCATGTGTAGGTGCATGCATGTGCAAATAAATAAAGGAAACTCTCCTAGTTAAGAGGTATCCTTTGGCAATTCCAAAGGCAACAACTAAAGACAGCGCCTCCAGTACATTCCTCTGCCTCCAACAACTCAAGTTGTGCTGGTCCTGCAGCAGCAACAACATACGCATCCTCAACACATGCAGCAGCACTCTGACCGCTGCAGCAAAGAGTCGCGCTGCTGTAACAGCAGCAGATACAGCTGCAGCAAAACTCTCAACGCACTTGGGATCAGCGTGTTGAGCAACTTTCTCTCTCAATTCAGCGACTTCTCGCTGCCTGCAGCAAAGCAAGACAGACAACAACGGCAGCTAGCTGGTTAGCTAGCTAGGCAGCTAGCTATGGGCAGCTAGCCAGCTAGTTACTAGTAATATGGAGGAGATGTAGTGATACATAAAAACAGACATACTTGTGCATGTCTCCTGGGACCTTGCTCTCCGTTCGCGGCGGCGGCACGGATACACCTCGCCCCACTAACCCACTAGGCTGCAGCAACGCAACAGCAGCAGCACCAGCAGCAGCAAGAGTGAGACGAAGTTGGGGGAAGGGGCGAAAGGGGAAGGACGCACGGCAGCAGGAGGTAAAGAAACATTGCAGCTTACATCCATCATGTCAGTTGCTTTTCTTAGCAATCCATGGAGAAGCGGCTGCAGCAGCAGCCGTAGCAGTTGTGCTGCTTGCTTAGCGCTGTGAGTGGCAAAGCCGAACTGGCCACTAAGGAAGACTGCAGCACCGAACACCAGCAGCAGTACCAGCAGCGGGAGCACCAACCAGCTGCTGCTAACAAAGGATAAAACCATGCCTAGCTCGTCCCATCCAAGACACAGCAGCAGCACCCAACCCCACAGAGGCACTGCCCTCCACGATGCTCTGTTGCTGCAGCGCTGCTGCAGCAGTTGTGCCTCGCGACACTGCTGCTGCATTGTTGCTACAGCTTTTCTTTGAATAGCCTGAGCAGATATTGAATCTATCAAAGGCCTGTAGAAAGCAGCAGGCATTGCATGATTAGACTCCTCCTTTCCTCCTGCTGCTGCTGCAATATCCTGCTCGTCGGTTAGATCTTTGTCCTCCAATGTTGAATGCAGCACACTTAGCCGTCTCAGCTGCACCTCTCGCAATGTCGGAATCAGCACTGCATCGCAACCACAAACCTAAAGCCTAAGCCCTAAGCCCTAAACTTGGGAATTCCATGCAGGGGAGCCGCGCTCGAGGCGCTTTTGTGCAGCAGCCGCAGTGTGCAGGAGAAGCAGCAGCAGGAGCAGCAGCAGCGACTACGAGCTGCTCGGCTGCGTTAACCCACATAATGCCTGGGACTTGGCACTCAAGAAAAATTTATCGAGACTCTCCACTGACAGCAACTCCCAACGCCGCGGTTGTTCTTCTTCATCAAAGGAGAAGAAACAATTGAATCTGCACAGACAAATAAATTATAACAAAGTGTATTAATAACTCCTACATCTACGTCTGCAGCTAGCTGCGCTAGCTAGCAGGCTGTGTAGAGGTATCTTGGTAGAGCTAGCTGGCTAACTAGAGCTAGCTAGGTAAACCTAGATCCACAACAGCAAATGCAAAAGCAGCAGCAGTAGAAACAGCAGCAGCAAGTTGCGGCACCTCTCAATGATGTAAATATGCAGACAACCCCCGAGCTTCTCCAAGCACTTCCGCAGCTGCCACAAGGCGATTTTACGGCAGCGAACTGCAAACGCTGCTGTAGCTGCTGCTGCTGAGTCACCCTCCTCGGTCTCGCTGCTGCAGCCCTTAGCAGCAGCAGCAAAATAAGTGGCGCACAGTGTCGCTGATGCTGCAGCACGACCTCGGCACAACTCCCAAAAACGCTCAGGAGAAAAGTCTGCAAACAACACACGATCAAGTCCTCCTTGTTGCTGCTGCTGCTGCTTCTCTCCATACAGGTGCCATTAGTGTTGTTGCTGCTGCTCTCGATCCTCCTGCCGCTGCCAGTAGTGATCACGCTGCTGCAGCTAATGGCTATCTTGCTGCAGCTGCTGCAAATACTACTTCTGCAAGGCTGCTGCAGCATTTGCTAATGTCATTGTATCTGCTGCTGGTGAGGCTGTCGACCTCTGTACAGCACTGCATGCCAGTGACTAAGAACAGCAGCTGCTGCGGGCACTGCTGCTGCTCTTGCTGCAGCAATAGCCTACATCTGTGCTTACCGCGTGCTGTGAGGAGCGCGTCCAAGCCTACGAAGCCTTCATCGCACTTCTCCTGCAGCAGCAGCAGCAGCAAAGCCAACAAACAGCAGAGCACTACAGCAAGAACCAGCAGCTGCTCCAGTCGCAGCATTGCCGCCGCCGCAGCAGTACGAAAAATTGGACGTGCAAAACAAATCGAGAGACGGGGAGCGAACCGGGTCTAGCAGCAGCAGCAGCAGCAGCAGCAGCAACAGCATCAGGCTTTAGAATAAGCACCTCTATTGCTTGCTCGAGAGCAGCCTGTTGTTTCTCGCGAATTGTATTTGCCTCTTGTTGCATCTCCTCTGCGCAACACACACAAAATGCAGCAGCAGAAGCAGCACATGCAGCAGGAACACCAGCAAGTGCTGCTGCTGCTGCCACGAAAGCAGAAGAGTCGAACGCTCACCAACGACAAGATGCATGCAGAAGAGAACAAAAAAGGAAATAAAATGCCCATATGAAGCAGCAAACAGATGCAAAAACAAAAACGAATTCACCAACTGCTGCTGCATCCAGCGGCAGCAGCACCTGGATACAAAGGAGGATACAAAGGAGACAACATAAAATATCCCTTTTTTGCTGCTTACGTCGCAAAGATGCAGCAAAAATTTTTGAGCAAAACTCCAAAACTTCGCCACTCTCTAAAGAAATATTGCAGCTCTCGCTAAACTCCCTAAACTCTTCTTCTGCTGCTTCTATTGCAGCGGCACTGCAGCAGCAGCAGCAGCAACAACAGCAACACAAGCAGAAGATTGCAAGGCACATGTGCCTTCTCCAACGCTGCAGCAAGACCACAGCAGCAGCGACAGCTGCAGCAACAACAGCAGCAGCAGACTATGCAGCGCTGCCTAACCTTCTCTTGCGGAAAGAAGCCCACAACTCGAGCATCGCATCTCCCTTTCCCTGCAGCAGCAACAGCAGCAGTAGCTGCACTAGAAGTAACGCACGAACTGCTGATCCGCATCGTGTGCGTGAGCACTATGCAGTAGCAGATAACTGCCCTTTGCTACTGCTGCTGCTGCAGCCGCCTCTATCTCCGCCTCAGCAAACTTACACACACGTCCCGTGGAGAATAGTTGTACGCCTCCCTGTTGCAGCAACAGCAGCACAAGCAGCAGCAGTAGATGCAGCAGCTCAACCCGTGAGTGGTTCTACTGGCTTCTGCAAGTGGCTTTAAGAGTGCATGAGTGTCATCTGCTGTACCGCACGCCCGTGCTGCTACAGTATTTTTTGCTGCTCCTGCAGTGTTTGCTGCTGCTGATGCTACTGCTGCTGCTACTGCTGCTGCTACTAGTGCTGCTTCTGCTGTACCTTAGTTCGTCTTTGTGCTTGTTTGCTATTCTCTCCCGAGCCTCCGACAGTTGCGCCTCCACAATGGGCTTGAAGAGACCAACAAGGCTGCAGCAAGAGCATGCAGATAGCAGCAACAGCAGCAGCATGCATAATGGCAGCATCAGCAACATGGAACCAACGACGGCAACAACAGGATGCATGCGGCAGCAGCACTAGCCGCAACACACGCGATACCCACAATAGAAACAGTAGCAACAATAGCTAGGAGAGCAGCAGTACCGGGAACAGCAGCGAGTGCAGCAACAGCAGCAGCAAGAGCAGCAACTGACCCTTCAATTAGTTCCGCTTTAATGCTAATGCAAATCTTTTGTTGATAGCGCGTAGCCTGCGACAGGTACTGTTCTGCAGCAGCACCAACAGAAACAAGAGCAACAAGAACCGTAGCAGCAGCAGCAGCATCGGCAGGAGCAGCAACAGCAATAGCAGCAACAGCAGCAATATAGCAAAACTACATGCAAAAGATACGAGGGGGAGAAAAGACAGTAGCAGCAGAAAAGACAAAAAGAAAACGAACAGACAAGACGAAGAAGCAGCAACAATAGCTAGCTAACTAGCCACTAACCGATGGCATCATTGGCAATATTAATGAGTTCCTCTCGTATTGCTGCTGCATCTGCTGCTGCAGGTCTCAAGTACTGATGCTGCACAGCAGCAGCACGTGCTGCTGCTGCCTGCAGCGCCTGCTGCTTTAAATCTTGACAGCGATATATTGCAAGCATTTCTTTTTGATTAGGGATATCCAAATGAGACTGCTGCTTAATTGTGTCCTGCAGCAGCAGCACATACAGCAGCAGCACATACAGCAGCAGCACATACAGCAGCAGCACATACAGAAGCAAACCCGCATGCAGCAGCACCACCACATGAAGCATATGCAGCAGATGCACAAAATGCAGCAGGTGCAGCATAACCGGGAACGTTTGGAAGCTGCGACACAATTGGCCGCTCTGCTCTGCTGCAGCACCGGTAGCAGCACGAACTGCTTCTGCTTGTGCTGCTGCTGCTGCTGCTGTAGCTGATAGCCATAACAGGCACCACTACTCACCCAGATATTCTTTGCGTAAGCCCCAAAGCCGTCAGCAGGAATACAACGAGTGTAAGACTTAGGACTCAATCCCTTCACCCATCTGCAGTGTGCATACACTCCACATTTACGCAGGACTGTGCAGCAGCAGCAGAAGCTAGGCAATGGGAGCAGCAGCAATGGGAGCAGCAACAAGGGCAGCTGCAGCACATTTTCCCGGGACAGGACACAAGTAGTATCCATTCATTCACCGAGAACGCATCTGACTGTGTTAGTCGTGCTGCTGCTGCTGCTGCTGCTGCTGCTGCTACTGTTGCTCGTGTTGGTGTTGCACCTGTTTCTAAGGCGAATGACGTCCTTCTCGAACTCCTGAGGGGCAAGGAGTTTGTGAGCCAAACCCATCACCTCAACAGTAAAGAAATCTGCTGCTGTTGCGTTTGCTGCTGCTTCAGGCTGAAATCGCAACACATACACCCAAGCATGCTAGTGTTGTTGTTGCTGCTGCTGCTGCCGATTTTGCCCGGTTTAGCGCGGTGCACAGAAGATTTGGGCTAGCCACTGAAAGCAGCAGCAGACAGTGCATGCATGCAACAAATGCTATCCGCAGCAACAGCAGCGGAAGCAGCAGCAACAGCAGCAATCGAAATACTTTTTCTATTTCCTTCCATATTTTGTTGACATAATCATTAATGATTTTCTCCTTCATGACGTCTGCATCAAAGCACACAACCTTTTAAGCCTTAACAACTATAAACCCTAAACCCTAAACCCTAAACCCCAGAAGCATAAGCAGTACGCTCTACTAGACACAACCAGCGGCAGCAGCAGCAACAGCAGTAGCACAAGGTGCAGGTGCTGCAAAGGCACCCATAAGCAGCAGCAGCATGACGAGGAGCGCCAGCTGCTACAGCATGAACAGCACCGGCGGCACCCTAACGACTAGTAGCAGCAGCAGCAGCAGCAACTATTCAATACCTTCAGGAACAATGGTCGGCGCCCAGTCACGGACAACAAACAGCAAAATTGTCTTTGGGGCGCTGAAGAGAAAGCAGCAACAGCAGCAGCAGCAGCAACAGCAACAAGACACCAAACACGACAATTAGTAGCCAAGACAGCAGCAGCAAAACAACCGAGCAGCACCAGTAGTATCAACATCATTACCACCATCAGCAGCAGCAACACCCCAACCACAGCAACACCAACAACTCCAACCACAACCATCATCACCATCATTACAAACACCAGCACCAACACCACCACCACCACCACCACCACCACCACCACTAACATCATCATCCTCATCGTCACCACACAGCAGCAGCAGCAGCATCAGCATCAGCAGCAGGAGCATTATATTATTAATATATATATATATATATTTCTTACTTATCCTGTGAAATAAATAATTCTAAATGGGCTTCCATAACAGTCTTAAGTAGACCAAATCCAGAAGAGGTATGACAGCCGAGTGCAGAAGTTGAAATATTCATAATTAGACAATCAGCCAATGCTAAAGAAAATAATGCGAAAAAATTTTCATACGATTCACGTTTATCTCCACGCTCTCTTGAATCTAGACCCTCTACATCTAATATAAGGACTGGACGCTCAAATGGTATTGCTACTATTGAATTATTATTATTATTATCTACTATTCCTGCTCCTGCTGCTGCTCCTGCTCCATCTGATAATGCTGATAATGAATTGTCATTACTGCTGCTGTTGCTGCTGCTGCTGCTGCTGCTGCTGGAGGGGGAGGAGAGGTGAGGGAGATTGTCACGACCCGCCCATAAACCTTTTGTTGTTTGCGAATAACCACGTTGAGCATCCATTACTTGAAATGTACAACCAAATAAACAATTCATTAAGGTACCTGCAGCAGCAGCAGCAGCAGCAACAGCAGCAGCAACAACAACAGCAGCAGCAAATGGAGGAGGAGCACTAATAGTAGCAGTGTCAGCAGTAATAATAGCAGGAACGACTGTTGCTGCACCTGCAGCAATAGCAGCAGCAGCAGCAGCAGCAGCAGCAGGTGCTGCTGTATTGACGTACTTTTCCCGCTGCTCTGTGATCCTAAGATGGTGACAACATTAAATTGAAATCCTAAGTCTGTCATTCCTTGATCTTTTATCCATTTCTCCAAATCAGCTCTGAGGTGTACAGGCAGCAGCAGCAGCAACAGCAGCAACAGCAGCAGCAGCAATTGACAGAAATAAATGAACAAAACAGAAATAGCAACAACAGGAGGACCAGCAGCAACAACAACATCAACACTAGCAGCAGCAGCAGCAGTACCAGTAAATGCAACAGCAGCAACATTAGCAGCAGCAGCAGTAGGAACAGCAGCAGCGGCAGCAGCAACACAGCAGCAGCAGCCTCACGTCATCTCCCCATCATAGTCAATGACCTGGATAAGGTCACCTCCAGAAAGAGTTGTCATTTTCGCCTGCTACTGCTGCTGTTGCTGCTGCTGCTGCTACTGCTGTTGCTATTGCTGTCTCTGTTCTTGCTGTTACTGCTGCTGCTGTTACTTTCGTCCATTCAGCGAGAACGTAGTAATCAGATGAGCAGCGTAAGATGATTGGAGTATACGGAAGTAGCTACTGCAGCTGCTGCTGCTCTTGCTGCTGCCGCTGCTGTTCCTGTTGCTGCTGCCTTCGTAGCTATGAGGGATCGTGCAGCATCCCCAGACGGCCACTCGCTAAGGCTACAGCTGATGCTGCTCAATTGAACGTGACTTGCTTCTCCTGCTGCTGCTATTGCTCCGGAGTAGGAATCTCCGCTGCGGCGGCCCTGTGGGATCCAGTCCCTACTGCTGCTGCTGCGTCTGTTGCTGCTGCTATTTCTGCTGTAGGTGTCGATTGTGTTGCTACAAGAGCTGCATGCATGTCTCTGTTGCTGCAGCAATTGCTTGGCTTCAAGGAAGTCGCAGCGGCAGCACCAGCAGAGGCTGTTCCTGCGGCTGCTGCTGTTAACTGCTGCTGCTGCTGCTGCTGGTGTGTCTTTGTTTCTCCTTTAGACAGGCAAAGAAGAAGCAATAATTAAAGATAAAGTAGCTGTCTCCTCGTAATAGGGGAGATGTGCTGCTATGCCTGCTCGGGGCAGTTCTTTGCTGCTGCTGCTGCTGCCGCCGCCGCCGCTGCTGCAGCAGGAGCTGCTGCTGTTGCTGTTGCGGCTGCAGATTCCGACGAGCAGCAACAGGAGCAGCAGTAGCAGCAAAATTAGTTAAAATGAGTGATGTAAACAGAAATAATCCTGTCAACTCAAATCAAGTTTAATTTTTGCTGCAGCAGCAGCAGAAGAAACTTCTCTTTGCTGCGGCAGGCCGTTGTCTTTGCATGAGGGGCCCTAGGAGGCCCGGTTGCTGTTGCTGTTGTTGCTGCTGCTGCTGACCTTGTTGCTGCTCTTGCGGCAGCTCCCTGCTGCAGTCGTGGTGCTGCAACGGTTGCTGCAGTCGTTCCTGCTGCGCCTGCCCTCGTTGCTGTCTTCCCGACTCGTGAGCGGCCCCGTCACACGATCCAGCAGCAGCAGCAGCAGCAGCGTCAGCAAAACGGGTGGAGGCGATTGAGGTTACTCTTGGAGCAGCAGCAACCATAGCAGCAGCGACAGCTGCTGCTGCTTCAGCGGCACGACTGTTGCACGTGGGACAGGAAGGTGTCACGCGAGCAGCAGCTGCTGCAGCAACAACAGCTGCAGCAGCAACGACAGCTGCTGCAGCAACAACAGCAGCAGCTGCAGAATTAGCAGCAGCACTTGCAGATCCTCCCCATGCGAGGTGTCTCAAAGCAGCCTTGCTGCTGTTTCTGCTGCTCCTGTTGCTGTTGCTGCCCCTGTCTCGTCGCTTCCCAGAGTCTAGCCTGAAGCAGCAACACTGCAGCAACACTGTAGCAAAACTGCAGCAGCACTGCAGCAGCACTGCAGCTTTTGCTGCAGCAGCACCTGCAGCAGTAGTTGACGAGGAGGCTGTCCTTTTTAGAGAGAGCACGCGGTAGAAGCAACAGCAGCAGCAGCAGCAGCAGCGGGAGGAGGAGGAGCAGCAGCAGCAATTGAAGCATGCGCATTCTCTTGCAGCAATGCCTTCATTGTGCAGAATATTATTGGCATTAATTTTGCTGCCAGTTGTGCTTGTTGTGTCTGTGTTGCTGCTACTGCTGCTACTGCTGCTGCTAGTGGTGCTGCTGATTAGCCGTATTGCTGCTGCAGTCCCGCTGCTGCTACGACCTATTAATAGAGACTTGGCTATTTATTTGTATTATATGCCTTATGGAGGTGTGCCAAAGAATAGGAACAGCAGCAGCAGCAGCAACAGCAGCAGCAGCAGCAGAAACAGCAACAGCACCATACGCGCAGTCCCAGAAAGCAAACCTTCTGACGACCCGCCTAACAGCAGCAGAGCAGCAGCAACATCTGTGCTGCACTGCTGCAACAGCACCAGCGCTGCTGTCACTGCAGCAAACGAAGCAGCACTTGCTGCAGCTACTGCAGCAGCAGATATAGACACTGCAGCAGAAGCAGGAACCGTGCTGCTGGATCCAGCGCCCTCGTTGAACCCAACGCAGTCGAAGGAGAATAACACCTGCAGCACCACCGGCAGCAGCAGCGAGAAGAACAGCAGCAGCAGCAGCAAGGAGAACAGCAGCAGCAAGAACATCTCAGCCTTGACCCCAGGACGGCATGCGAAGCGGTTTAGGCGTACCCTTACCGCAGTAGCAGCAGTAGCAGAAGCAGCAGCAGCAGCAGCAGCAGCCGTATCACCAACAGCAGCAGCTGCGTGAACTGCAGCAGCAGCAACCACTGCAGCAAACGCTGCAGGATGCGCAGTAGCAATAGCCGCACCATTACCGGGCTGACCCTAGCAGCAGCAGCCGCTGCAGCATTAGAAGCAGCAGCAGCATTTGCCCCTCTGGTGTAGAGTGCGTGCAGCAGGGGAAAAGGATAGCAGCAGCAGAATTGGAGGAGCAGCAGCTGCAGCAGCAGCGACGTAGAGTAGGAGCAGTAGCTGCAGCAGCGGCAACCCGCAGTAGCAGGAATAGCTGCAGCAGCAGCGACGCACAGTAGCAGCAGCAGCTGCAGTAGCAGCGACGCACAGTAGTAGCAGCACCGCCACCACCAACTTGCAGCTGCAGCAGCTGCAGCAGCTGCAGCAACCCGCAGCCGACACAGCAGCAGCGGCAGCACCAGTTGCTGCTGCACCACCAACTTGCAGCTGCAGCAGCAGCAGCAGCAGCAGCCCGCAGCCGACACAGCAGCAGCAGCAGCATCAGCTGCTGCTGCTGCATCGGGGAAGATGGGGCACTTTCAAGGGCAAGCACTTAATAGTGCTGCTGAGTGGCCTGCTGCAGCAGCAGCTACAGACAGTCCCTCAGAGGACAGTCCAGAAGCAGCAGCAGCAGCAGCAGCAGATGGGCCATCAGCAGCCGATGCAGCGGAGTGTACCTCCAGCTCTGGCGAGACTCAAGGCTCAACAGCAGCAGCTGATGCAGCAACAACACCAGCAGAAACTGCAGCAGCAGATGCAGCAGTAGATGCAGCAGCAGATGCAGCAGCAGATGCAGCAGCAGAATCCGCAGCAGCGCCTGAAGGTGTATCCTCATCTCCTGCAGACCCATCATCATCATCATCACCATCATCATCAGCAGCAGCAGCAGGGGACACCGAATCAGCAGCAGCAGGAGAAGGAGAAGAAGAAACATCAGCAGTAGCAGCAGCAGCAGAAACAGCAGCAGCAGCAGCAGCAGCAGCAGCAGAAGCTCCGTCTGTGTGGTCCTTATTTCCTACTGATTGGCAAATGTTACCAATTAGCCGAATTGCTTCTCTTCTTTTTGAATCTCTTATATCGGGGGGGAGGTCGCTGCAGCGCGTCAGCAGCAAGCGCAGCAGCAGCAGCAACAGCAGCAGCAGCAGGAATAGCAGCAGCAATAGCAGCAGCAGGAAATCATCTCTAGATCCACAGGCAGACTCAAGGCATCGGAGTCCAAGGCGGACACACAGAGACAGTCAAGGTAAGCAAGCTACGGCCGCTGCTATTGCTGCTGTTGCTGCTGTTGCTGTTGTTGCTGCTGCTGCTGGTTATGTTCTATCTAGCAGTGTCTTATCTGCTGGTGTTGCAGCAGTTGCAGCAGTTGCTGCTGCCGAGGAATTGGTTGCTACTGGTGTGGTGTGCGGGAGAGCTGTTGCTGCTGTTCGTGCTGCTGTTGCTGCTGTTCGTGCTGCTGCTGCTGCTGCTGCATGCATTTTTACTGCTGCAGTGTCTTTTGTGTGAAGGGTCATCTTCGGAGGGGACAGCAGAATCTCCCTGCAGCTGCTGCAGCAGCAGCGGCATCTGCAGCAGCGACAGCAACGGGGAGAAGACTACGCCGCTGCTAGGCCTGGCTAGCAGCAGGAGACACAGCAGCAGAGGGACACACAGCAGCAAAGCCTTAAGACAGCGCAGCAGGAGATCACAGCAGCGGCTGCTGCGGCGGCCATCTGCTAGGAGAACATCACGTGGTGCTGCTGCTGCTGCTGCATCTACTGCTGCAACTGCTACTGGTAGCGTCAGCAGGAGCAGCAGCAGCTGCTGCAGCAGCAGAGGGAACAGCAGCTGCGCAGATGTGAGTGATAACGCAGATGATGGGGAGGAAGACCAACACAAGCAGCACGAAGGGCACCACCAGCAGCAAGAGCAGCAAGAGCAGCAGCAGCAGCAGCAGCAGCAGCAGCACGAAGACAGCGGCACGAAGCCATCCTTAGAAAATTGGATGGGGACTTTGGGCCTTGAAAATGTTCCCTTAGAAAAACTTATTATACCGGGTAAACAGCAGCAGCAGCAGCAGCAACAGCAGCAGCAGCAACAGCAGCAGCAGCAGCAGTAACGGCATTAGCAGCAGCAGACCCTAAACGTTAATAAAAGCTAATAAACCCTAAACCCTAAACCCTAGATTGGTGTTTGTTTGCTGCTGCAGCAACACACAACAGTGCATCATGGAGGGTTGCGCGATTGAATGAGCAGCAAGCATATTACTGCAGACTTGTACAAGTCTGGGTTAGCTGCCAAGTAAGGCATCTGCTGCTGCTGCTGCTGCTGCTGCTGCTGCTAGACGGTTTGCATTAGCTGCAGCCGTTTTTCATGCTGCCATACTCACTACTATTGTTGCGCATGCATGTGTATGCATGCATTAGCTGCTCTTCCTGCTGTTGCTGCTACTACAACTTCTACTAAAAGTATGGCTGCTGCTGCTGTTGCTGCTGCTGCTGCTGCTGCTGCAGGAACTGAGTATATACGAGCAGCTGCGTAGAGGCATTCGTTGGTTAGACTTACGTTGTTGTAAGAGTTTAGAGGCTGTTACCTTACCTCATAGAAGACGACCACAGAGGAGACACAGGAAAGCAGCAGCAGCAGCAGCAGCAAACATTAGCAGACGTCCTTCTCTTCGATTCCCTTCATCATCGTCATCTGCTGCTGCTGCTGGTGGTAGCAGCAGCAGCAACAAGGTCTTGGATGCTGCTGCAGCCACGCATACTGCTGCTGCTCATGCTTCGTCTTCGCCTGCGTCCAACCCCGCCACGCAGCAGCAGCACCAGCAGCAGCACGGTCATCATCATGAGCATCATCCTCATCACCATCACCATCAGCAGCAGCAACAACAGCAGCAGCAGCAGCGGATCTCTGCTGAGGAGGAGGGTAAGACTTCTCTCTCTTCGCGGGGTAGTCATCACACGAAGAGGGAAACAAGTGGTCAGCAGCAAGATGCATCCTCATCAGCAGCAGCAGCAGCAACAGCAGCAGCAGCAGCAGCAGCACATAGAGATGATGCATTAGCAACAGGAGCACGTCGTGTTGCTGTTGCAAGGGAAATGAAGTTTGCTGCTCCTCAATCCATCCCGTTCTGTGCACATGGAGGTGTACTCACTGTACCCTTGGCAAGTTTCCTGCTGCTGCTGCTGCTGCTGCTATTGCTGCTGTCCCCAGTACTACTGCTGCTGCTGCTGGATTGATAATGCCACCCCTCCCTCCCCTCCTGCTCCCTTTCCCTCTCCCTCCTCACCACACCAACACGACCCAGTACAACAACACAATCACCTCCTCATCCTCCTTGTCCATCTGCTGCTGTTTCTGTTGCTGCTGCTGCTGCTTCTGTTGCTGCTGCTGTTTGTGTTGTTTCTGCTGCTATTTGTGTTGTTTCTGTTGCTGTTTGTGTGATTTTTGTTACTATTGTTTGCTGTTATTGTTGATTACTACTACAGATGCGTGTATTAGAGGAAATATATATATTTTTATCCTTACATCCAACAGAAATAATATTTATTAGTTGTGTTGCTGATGAAGGAATTCTTGGCGAAACTTTTTGCAAAATTTCCGAAATTTCAATTTCGGAAATTTTTTTTTGCATTTCGAAATTTCTTGGAAATTTCTTAGGACCACCAATTCATCAAGGAATTACTATACAACAACTTATACAAAGGTTATTTTTTATTATTTATATTTATATAA